TAGTGCTGGATTGCTCTGCATGGCTTTTCAGCTTACAACAGCTGAATGAGCTCCTCTTTAAGAGACAGGCTAATTCTCACAGGCCCCCTAGCCTGGAAAATCACATCACACAGACTGTGAGATCTCCAGAAGCAAAGTGCTCCTCACAGAACTCATAGATAAAGGTACTACTCAGTTGAGTGATAACTTCAAGGACAAAAGGTATGAACACTGCCATTCTTCCCCAGCTTATTTCCAGTAGCAGAATAAACACATGAGATCACAGATCAGAGGGCAGTCCAACCTACTTCTGGAAAACACTCCTAAAAAAACCTAGGGAAGCAAGACCATTTGCAACAATATACAACTCCTTGCAACTTGTTGCTGACCCAAACCACTTTCATCCGCAAGTAAGAAAGGTAAAATATTCTTTATTTGCAGCTGCAAATCTCTGTGTGCAATGTTTACAGGCTTGTATCAATAAACCAAGTCAAATCCATTTTAAAATCTGACTTAAAAGTGAAATAATGGGTTTCTCAGTGCATTGTATGAGAGGGATTGTTTTTCCATAGTGGGTTATTTCAGATACTAACAAATGCCTTAACTTCAGCAAAAGAAAGAAACAAACCCCAGTAAAAAAATTGTGCTGCCTTAGACTTATGACAGTACCCACTTATGTTTATTAAAATATGCTTTTGCAGAGTACCCTGCCTCAGTTTCCCTTCAAACTTCCAAATTCATCCCATTGCTTCTCCCTTCCCTGTGTCCTTCTCCACCTCTGTAAACTTTTTCTCTCTTGCAGTTTTTGCCCTTTTGTCCCACCTGTCTACAGGGTCACACCTTCACTTTCTATTCAAAAAAACCTTTTCCACAGCAGTAATAGTTTGTAAAACTATTGGCTTCTAACACCATCTTTCTCTGACCTCCAAGATTTTCTTTTGGATTATGCTGTTTGCTATCGCTGCCTAATTTTCCTGCAATTAAGGGGTGACCCCTTAAATCAGCTTTCTGCTTTCTGCTTTCTCGCTAATCCATCAATCAGTTCTTTTAAAGGCTGATAATATCCCCCTCTATCAGAGTCCTCCATATTGCTGGAAGAGTCAATAGTGACAGTGACCATTCACTCACAGGACAATCATAATTTCCAGTTGATTGAGCACAACCAGAAATAGGATTCTAAATACAAAAATGATCAATCAAAAAAGAAATTATCAAAATAAAACCAAGAGAGAAAAATTATCCCAAACCAGTTCTACCTTCTCCTATCTGTGACCATCACCACATATTTATCCTGTCTTATGACCAAGAGTCAAAATTAAAATGATCAAAATTAAATTAATCTAGTTGCATACATTACATACTTCTGCCCATTGCAAGATCATCATCTACAGCTACAGCTACTGCTGCTCTTTTACTCACATGACTCTGAAATAACAGAGATCAAAAATACTGAAGGCAGATGGATGACTTTCTCATCCTCCTTTGTACAAGGAGTAGTTTAGCATCAGTACTTAATACGACCACAATTGTACATTTGCTTCAGCAGGTCAGAAAAACCTCTCTGAAGAAATTGTGATACCCAGTTCTACATAGGACAACGAAAAAAGAATAAGAAGTACAATCTGTTCTCAAAAGGAATGAATTCATTGAAACTCTAAGAAAACTCCTTATCTTTGTCCCTGAAAAATTACATTCTAACCCAAGTAACTAAAAACTCTGGCTTACTCTGGAACAATTTTATCCACAATATGCCTGCAGAGCTGTATACAGTAAAGGCACTCAGTTCTGTATCCGCAGGCTGGTCAGGCACTTTTCTGGAGTGCTTTCTTTAGAGATCTTATCTCCTTTTCCTCACCTATCTTTGGAAGTTGCCAATAGCCTACAGTCATACATACTTTTCCTCTTGCTCTTTGGATGCTCTCTTTCCTTCCAGTCCATTCATTCCAGGAATCTCCTTGGGCTTGGTTTTGGTTTGGGTTTTTTTTGATCTATAATCTCTCAAACCAATTTTTAATTAAATAATGGTTCTTTAGAGTTTCTCAACTTATCCTGTAGACTGAAGCAGAAACGGGGAATAAAAATAATGTTTTTTGGGTTTTCTTGGCACTGTCTAGGTATGTGGTGTTCCACAGATTACTCAATTACTGCCAAAGCCTAGTTAATCTGTGAGGCTGATTGCTTAGCTGCTCAGATGTTCTCATTATGTAAAATTTCCTATCTTTGACCCTGGAAACTATAGAAGTGTCTACACACAAAGTATTTTATGTCACCACAAATGCTCCCACCTGGTGGAAGTTTTTAACAGAGGATAACATTATACAATGCAGTGAAATTTACTTACAGAAGGGTGGCAACACTCGTCACGCATGAGGCTTATGCAAGTTCTGTGCATTTGCATAGGCTTTTTAGTACGGGTGACACAGTGAATAGTTTTAGGTATGGAATGCCTCCTTGCATGGAAAGCGGAAGTTGGTATGTTTGGAGAAGACATATATGCTTATTTCTCAGAAGGGGACAGAGAAGGGAGTGAGCCATGTACTACAGGTTTGCTTATCCTGGTCCTGAATTCCTGGATTCCATCACATCTACTTTAATCACCTGGAAGCTCTTGTTTAATGCTGATTTCACATTTGCAGAGTAGTAAGGCATGTCTGGCCATAGGAGGAGGAATGCAGTAAGAGTATTTGTGCTGATCATTAAAAATGAAAATAACTCCAAGATGATGAAGAACTAAGCTGTTCAGCAAGTACCCCTCACCTTGCAGAAGCTCTAAATAGACACAGAGAAAACAAAAAAGCAAATGAACAAACCAGCCAAAACACATGAGAATTAAAGTCAAGGCTAGCTGCATACAAGCCCCAAATCCCTGAAAGGACGACGTGCGAATTCCCACTAATGCTGCTGTCTGAGCACCCTCTGGTGGCCCAGAATGAGCAGCTCCAGAGACGAAAACGCCATCCCGCAAGGTGAGGATGCAGGAGAAAGTAGTGTCTCCCCGACTTTGTCTGGACAATTGATGACTGTACGCAATTTAATTATTTTTCTTCATGTCTTTTGTTCCCAGCATTTCCTTAATTTTCACGTCATCTGACTGGTTCAAAACTTGTGTTCATTTAAAACTATTTTACCAATTTGTTTTAAACTAATTTTCTTTGGAATGTGAGATTAGAATCAACTGGGAAAAAAAAAAAAGACAGCATAATAATATTGGGAGGGAAATATGGAGGGAGCAGAAGTCAAATTTGAAATGCTTTCCAACATACGGATGACATCAAAGTATATTTTAATTTAATTGCAGAACATACTGAATTTACTTGGTTTCAATGCAAGGCTATTCACTGTTTTGCACTTATATTTAACCTGGAAAAATAGTGGAGAGTGATCTAATCTGTTGTGTTCATACATCAGAGCTTTATAGCTCCTTATTTTTCCAGAAAAAAATAAACTTAATTTTACATATGAGAGTATTTTTACCTATGTACAGAATATGTGTCATGTTTGCTCTTTTCTGCAATTATTTGGCAGAATATTTGGCATACAGTCTGTTATCAGTTGGATTCAATGTTCAAGAAGTGTAAAAACAGTGTACTGTTTGTCCTGGTTTCAGCCAGGGTAGAGTTAATTTCTTCTCAGTAGCTGTGACAGTGCTGTGTTTTGGATTCCAAATGAGAATGCTGTTGATAACACACTGATATTTTGGCTTTTTGCAAAGTCCTGTTTATCCTCAGCCAAAGACTCCTTTTTTCCCCTTGTCTTGTGCTCTGCCAGTGAGGAGATAAAAAAAGAAAACCAAAAAACTGGGAGGCAGCATAGCTGGGGCAGGTAACCCAAACTGCCCAAAGGGGTACTCCACATGACAGAAGGTCATGCCCAGTATATAAACTGGGGGAGTGACTCAGAAGGGGGGCCAGTCTGAGTTTGGGAAGGATGGTCTGGCATTGGTTATTGGTTGTTGAGCAACTGCAGAGTGCAGCACTTTTTTTTGTTCCTTCTTATTACTATTGTTTATTATTATTTACTATTATTAGTGGGTTTTTTTTCTTTATTTTCAATTATTACATTGGTTTTATCTTAACATACAAGTTTTATTTCAATTCTTCTCCCCATTCCACCAGGGTAGGAGGGGAAGGGAGAGGGTCTTGAGGGAGGGGCTACATGGTGTTTCAAGCCCACCTAAACTTAAAAACACTATTAAAAGAAAAAAAAAATCACCTGAGATAGCATGAGACCTCTCTTTCCTACGGAAATTTCATATATTTACCACATTTCTAGATCCACCAGACATTATTCCTGAAAACTGCCCTAATAAAGGCACTTTTAGTTAGAAAGAGTTTAACTAGTGCTGTCAGACAAAAGTCCATCTCTTATACTCTCTTACCTCTACTACAGCTTATCTAACTAAGTTTCCCACAACAGAAAAAAAATCATGTGTTATATTGCTTGGGTTCAAATGGAAAATTACTATTTTCTCAGGCTTATGGATTGAGAAGAGAAAATGGAAAATATCTCATGTGCTGGATGAAAAGCATGGAACACAATAACCCTCCTAAGTAATTTAGAAATCCAGGGCAAAATACCACTCCAAAATGGTTAAGAGCCTGGAACTTGGATATCTAAATGCTGGAGTATTTCAGACTGTTCACAAAATATTTTGACTGTCCTTGCTTGGAATCCTGAATACATGTCCACTAAAAATGCATATTCCCTCTTAACCAGTCATCTACTGAGAGCAAAATCAAAGTGAGAACCCCAGCAGATGTGTCTAGTTACCAATTATCTTTTAGTTTCTTATCTTCTCCTTAAATACATGAGGGGAATAATTTATACCTTGATTATAAGATATGTAGCAGAGGGGTCATTTAAAACCTTTGGTGGAGCATGTATTTCAGAAATACAAGCAGAGAAAAAAAAATCTTTATTACAGTTAATTACAGTTAAAATGGATTTGGAAGAGAAACTACTCATATTTTAAAGGCAGACATGAAAAATGTAATGAGGGCCAGACCCTGATCTGCACTTACCCCAGTTTTCATTGGTGTAAGCCTGATGCCTTCGAAAGACTTTCTCTCCCTTCATACTCCTCCCAGTGAGATGAGGATCAGGCCTGCAGCCTACCTGCCCACCCTTGCCATGATGATGATGAGAATGATAATGAAAAAATTAATGAACCTGGAGTCAGAATTAAAAATTGCTTGTACCTAATACTAATTTTCCTCATGGCTATGAAGCCCTCTTTTTGATGAGAAGAAAAACAGAACAGTTACCAGCTGTTCACATAATGACGAACACTAATAAGGGAAGACATGCATGTTAATGAGCTGGGGGAGGGGAATCAGAAGGGGCACTCATCAGTGCAGCTGTCAGTGCAAATCCTTCCTCTGAGTATTTTGGAAATCTGATGGCATGTCGGCATGTTACACTGGCAAACAGACTTGAGAATGACATCAGCCCCAGGTAAGGAAAACAGCACTTCTAGAGTCTACTTTCAGCCCTGGCCAGGTGGTCAGCTTGTCTTTCACCATGCTGCTAACAGTATAAGGACAGGTACTCTCACCATGTGTAATCTTCTAAAATATTATTACTGCAGTCACAAATGAACAGTCAAACTGAGATGACCTCATGGGTCCAGCAGAGAACAACAAGTAAAGAGAGATGTGTGGATCAGAACTGGTGGGAGAATAAGGATGCCCTTTGTATTCTCTGGTCTGTATATCACACAAACAAACTGAAGCTTAAAGGCTTGTCTGCATGCAGAGCTCTGGTGTCTTCTTTCAAAGAAGTGATTTCAGTGCAAAACCCAGCAAAAACCAGTCGTCCCTTAGTTTAAACCCAGTATTTTCATCAGTTTTGGGTCACAGAGCACAGGCTTATGCTGAAATAAGCCATTCAGCCCAAAGCAAAGTTTGCACTTAGGCCTACAGCACTCTAATTAGCCCACATCAGTTATGTGAAGACAGCACCTGCTCCCAGGAGTTGTAGGTGTGACAGACATCAGGCCACAATAGGTGCTAATCAATTGCTTGGAATTCACTTCTCCAAATTTTCTGAAAGCAATCTGAAGAGGCATTAGATTCGTGGAGGACTTCAGCAACATGAGTCCTGGTAGCTTTATTAGAATGTGCATTTGTTCACACTGAATAATCTTGGGAAGCTAAATCATCAAAACTGAGCAATGTAGATCTGGAGAATGAGGCCAACCTTAAAGAAAACCATGCTCCAGAGCTTTTGACCTGCTGATTGCTTAGCCCCATTCACATGTGCCAATCCACACATGCACGAATTATAGTCCTACATGGCTAGAGGTAAGATTCCCAATATGAAGGACAGTGTTTCATGCAAAAACACAATAGGTGATGTAAAACTGCATGGCTGGATCTATGCTGATTTACACCTAAATCTACACTTATACATTAAAAATGCCTTTAAGTTTTTAGATGTGTAAATGGGTCTTGACAAAAGCTCACTTATCAGGTTTTTACTCCTCAGAAACAGATGTGGCACATAAATCAGTACTGCAAGTTGTTATATCATCCTCCATGTTGGGCTCAGATTGAACAGAAGCTGCCAGGGACACGTTCTTTCCTGATTAATATGAAGACAGTAATTTTCTTTTTTCTTTTTTTACTATTATAGCTGCAAGAAAAGCGTATGCTACACAGCAGTCAGCACTTCTCAGCAGGAAAAATTGAGACCAAGAACACAGAGATCTATGAAATCAGAGATGAAATGGAAAACCTGAACAAGAGACATAAATTAGAAAAATAATTTAGGAAAAAATCAATTTCCTAGTAAGTTCCACTTAGTGTCACAGAATACCCTGAAATAAAATGCAAAACAGGGAGTCCAACTCCATCAAGATGTAAAGGTTGCACAGTATGGAGGTCAGTGGCACCATGTGAATTCATTTAACTCTGAAAAAGTGTTCAAAAAAATAAGTTCAGAAAAGTAAAGGTTTCTGTTGCTTTTGCAAATGCCTGAATTTGAAAGATGTACTGATAATAGGATGAGGTGCATGGTAAAAAAAGCATACCCACACACAAGTGTTCTACAACTTAGGTTTGCAGGCAAAGGGCACTTCAGGAGGTGAAATGATCTGCTGGTAACCTGACTCCCTACTTAAGTGACCCAACAACATTACAAGGTTGCTCCTACATGCTCCCTGCAGCACACAACAGCAGTTAGAATAGGGCTGGAAGAAGCTTCTGGACATCTACCCTGGCTGCCCTCTTGGAAGCAAGACCTTGTACAAAAGAACAACTCATTGAACAGGGACAGCTGTGCAACTTGCTACAATAAATGTGCATTCTGCCTAGAGACCCATGACACCCATGAAAGGGGAAAAATTTCCAAATCCAGTCATCTTGTGCTGCACACTAGACTCATTCATACTACATAAATTTGGTAGACAACTGGTTATCATCCTCTTCAACACCACGCCTGCAAACTCTTTGTCCATGCACTCTTTTTTTTTTTAAGAATTGATAAACCAAATTATTTAGCTTGTCATCCCAACCATGCTTTCAGGTCCTCAAGTCATTCTTGCTGTAGTCCTCCAGACTACTTCCAACTTCTGGCACAGTAGGAGCTGAGAGGAGGGTACGCACGGAAAAAGAGATTTCTGAATGCCAAAGAAATGCTTAGATTACTTAGATGAAGGTGTAAATAATCACAAAACTCACTGCCATTCTCTTGGTGAAATCAGTCTTTCAAAAATTTCTAGCACTTCTCCTACATGCAGACCAAGGCTTTCATTCTGCAGAAGCATGAGGGCAGAGGTACATAAGTCACTTTTCCAACCTGGGAAAACCCAGGTCTCATGTCCCATCAGCCAAACTGAATTTTCAATTGTGACCACAATTATAAAGAGTGTTGAAACCACTAGACTTGTGATAATAGACTCTCTGCATACCTTCAGGGCGCCTCTACCTCAGCAACCTTTAACAGGCCATGTCAGGCCGGGCAGAAATACTTTCTGCTCTTGGGAGATGTTGTGTGGGTGTGCTCCTCTGTGACATTACTCTGATCATAATCCCTACTTATGTGGCCATGCTGGAAATAAAGTGGTCTCCAGCTGTTGCAGCCCTGGTGATAATGTCAGCGCAAGGAACCATTGTTGTCACACTGGAGCAAGGCAATTGTATGCCCGTGCATAGCTACAGCACAACCACTTTTGACATGAAACAATAAGGAAAAACATAGGGAAAATTTGGCACAGGAAATTTATCCAATGAGAATTGCAGTCCTCAAGGTTGAAATTTGGTCAAATTCTTCCATGTGTGCTGAATGCCTTACAGAAACTTTAACAGCCCAAAGAAGATCTTGGACTTTCACCTCTTCTGGAAGACTGCAGCACAGTAAGACACTGACTGTGTATTGATAAGAGCCTTCAAAGATTGGTTTTGTGCATCAAAGCACTAAAGCTTGTTCATTGACTTTACATATATGAGTAACCAACATGGCTTCACTAAGGGCAAATCATGCCTGACATATTTGGTGGCCTCCTACCCTGGGTGGATAAGTGGACCTGAGCAAAGCATTTGATGCTTCCGTGCACACCCTTGACTCTACAGTGGAGAGCCGGACCACCCAGTGGGTAAGGAATTGCCCGAACGCTCCTGCTTCAAGAGTTATGGCCAATGGCCAGGAGTCTGGGTGGAGACGAGTGCCGGATGGTGCTCCTTGGGGCTCTGCACTAGGGCCAGGATTACTCACATCCCTGTCAGGGACACAGCCAGTGGGACCAGGTGCACCTGCATCAGGCTGACTGATGACAGCCAGCTTTGCGATGTCACAACTGCCTGAGGGGCCACAGCACCTCCGGAGGGGCCTCCAGCATAAGACATGAACCTGCAGGAGCAGATCCAGAGAAGGGCCACAGAACTGACCAGACAGCTGTAGCACCTCTCTTATGTGAAAAGGATGAGAGAGTTGGGGTCGTTCAGTTTGCAGAAAAGAAGGTAATGGGGAGACCTCCCAGTACCTAAGGGGGACCAGGAAAGATGGAGAGGGGTTTCTTATCAGTGTAATTACAGGATAAGGGTGAATGAAAGAGGATAGCTTATATTAGATATTAGGCATAATTATTTATTGTGAGTCTACTGAAGCACTGGAAGAAGTTGCGCAGGGAAGCTGTAGATGCCACATTCCTGGAAGTATTCAAGGCCAGGTTGGGTGGGGATTTGAGCAACCTGGTCTAGTGGAAGGTTTCCTTGTCTATGGCAGGGTGTGAAACTAGGAGATCTTTAAGGTCCTTTTCAACCCAAACTATTTTATGAACCTATGATTCTATCACCTGAAAACAGTAGGTAGCTGATGTGCTTATATTTTAAATCCTTAAAATCATTAATTCAATTGCTGCCACAACTTACTGCTGCTTCTTCAGCCTCATGTTCATGCACTGGTTTTAAGTGTGCTGATGTAGAGTGCAGACCAGAAACATGGGAATCCCAGTGATGAAACGTGTGCATCCAAGGAATGGCATGAGATTTTTGCTGTAGGCCAGAAGATATGAATAGGAGACATGGCTGAAACAGAAACGGAGACTGAAGGCAAAAAATGGGATCCAGTTGCTTGCTTGCTAAATACATTCTGTTCTGTGCAGTAAAAGCTAGGGACTCTGAGAGTAAAGAGGGCACAAGAATATAATCATACATTAAATCATAAAGCAAAAAAACTTAATTGAGATGACAGTGGAGTTAAAGCAGTCAACAACTGGAAAGTATAGTTCTAGCATTTCTGCAGCACTTGAGGGCCTTACTGCAACGATAACAATGTTCTCTTCATGTTGATTTTCTTTGTGATGTATCAATGAGCTCAGCCATATTTTGGCTTTGGTTACTATCTCACATTCTCAGGATCTAGGGCTAGGAACGTATATCTGTTCTTTTTAACTCTAACTTAAATTCCAATTAACTGAACTGAACTCAAAGAGGTGTCATCACCAATAAACAAAGAGATGCAACCATCAATGAAATAACATCACATTCTTACGTAATCAACAGAAACTTACAAGTGGCAAGTATGGTGAAAAAATACCATTCT